GGTAACACTTTTTTCGGTTTTGTGCCAGAGATAAGACATGAAAATGTCAAAAAAAAATTAGAAATCACTATTAAATTTTGGAAACAGTATAAAATACATTTTCTTGACGTCTTGAAGATATGATAATTAATAGAAAACGTTTCGATTAACTACTATCGTTCTTTTGTGGATTTCGTAAGAACTATGTATTTAAATAGATAAGTAGTGAGTAGGTTAGGGGAAAAAGCCGTTAATTTACAAATTAACGCTTCGATGCGAATCTTCGATTTCTTCCTAATTTTACTTTATTCAGTAACGCAAAAACAAATTTATAACCCTGTTAAAATCCATCTGTACACAAAAAAATACAATTAATTAGTGATTGCCTGGGTTTGTTACTCAGTAAAATTAATTAATTTAATATTTCTCTATAATAATTATTGTGATAGCAAATTGACGTATTGTTCGCGGCTTTTTTTGTTAAATAATAATACTGAGGAGTGTGTCTATACTATTCTAAAGATTTTACCTGAGGGCTAAGACTAACCGTTCTCCATTTAAACCTTTAGTTGGTTAGGCATTTAGACACCCCCCCCCCTCTATAATTTCCGCCGCTGGACCTAAACTCGTTTTTAGATATTTTTTGATATTATTATAAAAAAGTTATCATGACACAATAAAAAAAACACATCATTATTAAACCAATACCTACTCAGCTATCTCATAGAAGCCGAAATACCTAATTTGTGTGTGAATTTGTATACGAAAACTCTCCTCTAATGTTTCGTTTTATTTAGGTATTTATTATATTTCAGTCAAATTAGTGAACAGATAATTATTGTTACATAGCGTTACACTAACGACAATTCCACGTATCTACAATTTGGAAACTTTTCAGGGGAAGCAAGGAACTGTTTTACTTTGATTTGAGAGAAGTAGTTTTACTTATTACATATTTGTACAATATTTATCAAATTTTAAATAGTTTTTCTCATACTTCAAGTTATAACTATCAGTCATATTAATTGGGTAATTATCAAATTATTTACGTTTTTCACAGTTTAATAGCAGATACGCGTTATTACATATATATGTGATTTTGGAGGGAAATAACCGATTATATGGAAAAAAGTTAAAAATAAAACATGTGCGCAAGGAGATTACGAATTATTTTATGTATAATACTCATTTTTGATAAAATGTCAGTTACGTGCTATTGTCGTTAGTGTAGCGATAGTTTTTATCTATTTGCTGGACGGACGGCAGCCGATCTCATCGGTTGTGTGGAATTCGCCGTATTTTTCTTCAATGACCGGTGTTGTGGAAGAATCGGCCTTTGCAGTCTCCAAGGTTTTCGCCCATCTGAAGGCTACCGATTGTCTTGACCGTCGATATGCGTGGGTTCTTGCCCTCGCCAAAACATTGTTGCACACCATGCTGCTCGTTGCCGTTTCCACTCATTTTCAACACGGGCATACTCACAGTACCCTTAAACGGCGCCTTGTTGACAACCGACTTTTTCTTGTCGCTCATTGTGCACAAAAATGTGTATAAACCAAATAATTTGACGGATTTATCAGCGGACACTAAAAGCTACAACTCGACCGTGTTCACGATACACGATAGATATAAATAAACAACGCGGTTGCTTGACGTATCAACAGTTGCAACAAACTAATACCTACATAATATAATAAAAACTATACAGCCAGTACGAAAATAACATTGTATAAAATGTAGAAAAACGTGTGTATGTTAAACCGATCAAACCATAGCGCCATATATTGTGGCAAGTTATTTATTTACTAGTTACGTTAAAAAAAAGGTAATCAACTAATGGACAAAAACAAAACAGTACCTTCTAAATATTGGTAATAAAATCGAAAATCAATATTAACATTTAATGCTAATAATTATTATACAATCTCTACTGATCATACATGAAACAAGCACACTTAGTGCCTATACATTATACACGCTAACACGCAACATCAAAATTATTTTTAGGGCGCTCCTCAATAATAATTTATTCTTCAATTTCACGGGTGGATTTTTTTTGCATACACACTATCGTCCATCACGTTAACCACAAACATTAATCTAGCTAATTGCCAAGTTCAATAATTAATAACTTTACAAACTATTTGCCTACGTTTAATAGTATCAGATGTTTCAAATCGATCCAAAACGTCTTGTACAAAGGTGTATGTTCTCGGTCTTTAACGAACTGTTTCCGTGTTAAACGAATATTAATGAAGTTCCGTTTTAGAGAATTTAAATTAAATATAGGTCACGTTCTTAAACATTCGAAAAGGTGTAGTAGTAATGTTTGTACCTAAGCACACTTAACGATATTCTTGGGTAGATTTTAATTGCACGAGATACAAGATATAATAGCACACTGCAGTATACCTACTTTATTATATTGTTAAAAACAAAAATATAAATCGGTAGATTTTATTACTAAAACCGTTGTTCATCAACTCGGGGGGGGGGGGGGGGGGTTGTAACCGTTAAACATTTGTCTGTTGTCGATTAATATTACAAATTCGTTTGATAAAGATTCGAGTAAAAAAAACGCACGTATATGTTTAAATGTAAACAAGTTCAATATAATCACGTTATAGTTTTTTAGTTCATAAATATTGATTTTAGTGTTTGAACTGTTTAATTTACAACCATTAGTTAAATAATAAAAGCATAATAACAAAATCCACATGACCAAAACGTTGGCACTAAAAAAATACTTACACTTAAAATATTAGTTAAAGCGAAACTAAACACAAAGAGCGAATGCGAAATACTGTATAAGATCCTACCATTTATAAATTTCACTTGATACAAACAAAAACGGCTACCAAGTTTAAAGTCAAAAAACAAAACTATAGAACAAAAAAAATAATATTTTTTTATGAATTTTACACCATGCTGTCTGGACGATACAAATACTACATGATAAAATGAACTGTATAATTAACCGTATGTTGTTTGGCGAGCAACACACTAATATTTCGTATTGATACAGTGCAAACATTAAAGCTGACAGGACAGTCTTTATGCAATAATTAAGCCCTAAAAAAAAAATTACTTGAAAATAAGTTAATGACTAAGTTATCAATGTGATACGGATAATTGTTAGCATGGAGTGATGGAGCCTAAAATTTAATAATTATCAACCGTTATTAGTGTGATAGGCCAGTGACCACTCTAGTATGATATTAACAGCTGCGTAGAAAAATTACCTGTTAACATATTCGAGACTTGCATCTCTACAATATAATGTATGAACTAATATTATTACTATTGGTTTTTAAATGAATCATAAAATAGTGGGCGTATATCGATTCCGCCGAAATAACCTTTTTACCTGCCAAAAATGTATCGATCGCGCCGAAGGCTATCGACTCCGCCGGAAATTTTTACATATTGATTCCGCCGCCTATTTTTTTTTTTTAGTTGTCAGTAAGTACAAATCCATAGGTCAAACATTGTACACATTATTTTACAAAATGTATTTATAAAATGGTATAAAAACATATAATACGGCAGGAAAACAATACAATAATAAACAGAATAGTACAATATGATATGTCATAAATTGTCATTTTTTTACATAGTGCTTTGACGCCAGTTTTACATAGGTGAATCTATCAATATATTTATTTGAATAGTCGTAAAAATTTGTATAATACATTTTTTTTTTTATTTCATAATTTTTGTTTTTCCTAATTTTATTTGAGTTATATATAATATACGAATCAGTTGGCTAATCGCCGCAAGATACGAAAAACGTTTTGCCCGGCGAAATGTAAAGCCACTTGCTTTTTTGTGTTCATTTATAAAATATAGTGTTAGTACTCGACTATGTATGAATAAATTAGTATTGAGAAAAGAATATGTATCCAAGTTATGTAGATAATTTATATTAAAATTATTAATAGTAATGTATATTTATTTACATTCAAATCTAAATTTTGAAGTTAACCAGCAATTAATAGATTATTATGATATTAAATCAGACGCAATAAATCACATGGCTAAATTTAATTAATAAGCAAAAGTTAAACATGCGAGAAAAACGTTAAAATTATTAAATGAAAAAGTGTTAAATTATTGAAAAAATTAAATAAATATTTCTCGAATACCTGTTGACTATTAATTATATAGCAACCTAAAAACTTGATAAGATGAAAACGTTATGTTCCCTTTTTGGTTTTTATTAAAAAAAACTTTATTTACAGAGTTTTGAGAACATTTTATGCTTAATAGTCCCATATTAAATCCACATTGAGTCTAATTTTTAAACTAAAACTTCACAATGCTTGTATATCTACAGCTAAGATATCCCCCTCACCAATATGCCTTATTCCCACTACGCCTCGACCCCATCCACTGGTTTTTTTTTTTAAAAGATGTAATTATTATTATTTTTTCGATGACAATATATTAATATTTTAAATAAATATAATATTTTTTTTTTAAATGACTAGCAATCTACTTCTAGTGAAGTTAAGTAGTTAGGCGCGAGTCAAGATGCATTCCCAGATTTGGTTGAATCGTTCTGTGGGATCATCTGTTGATTCAGTGTGACAGTTATGTAAGCGGTATTACATGTGGTTAACATGCACTGATTAAGTCACCATTTAATTTTACCTTTCAACGCTTAGTCCAAATGTTAACGCTGATTGTAGGATGTCTTGGACTATAGTGCATAGAATTACTTTTTGATACAATATCACAAATTTCAACATTATCACATCATAAAATATTAACAACGCGTGTATCCGTGGTAACAGAACATATTTACTTAAACGCGAGCTTAGGTAAAGGAAACTGTCAAGTGCAAAAATAAATTTGGTACAAATAGAAACTCGTACCTGAACAATAAGTAACAAAAATATTCTGTTACAGAATTATATACTGCTCTTATATCATCAAGAACTTTTTTTAAAATAAAATCGATATAACGTTAGACTAAAATCTAATAAGGTATTCGAAATATTATGTCCCAGACGAAAAAACTAACAAAAACTGTACAGGGAACCACTCAAAAATTTGAATTGAACAATCCAGTGCCGATGGCTCGCAACTCCAGTACGTTAATGGTAGGCAGTCACTATAAGCTCGGCAAACGGTTTGGAAAAGGTAATTTCGGAGAAATAAGGCTTGGAAAAAACATGTTGAGTGACGAAGACGTCGCCATAAAGACGGTATGCCATATATTGTTATTCTATTGATAATATTGACGAGTCTACTTCAAACTATAACTAAACAAATTCGATTTTCTTATACAAGAATAATCTCTTATCACAACTTTTTAATCTATTTTAAGTTACAATGTTTTAATTAAAAACTTTAAATCTGGCAATTTGTTTGTACTTTGTACTTTATGAAAAAAATATCTGTACACTCGAAAAATATTTTTTGTACTTAAGGTTAAGTCTCACTTTATTTGTCAAAGCGTGATAATTTCATCAATGTTTCTTTTGGATTAACTTATTGTTTTTTCTATTTAATTGGAGATAAGACATATACCCAACATTTCATTATTAACTACAAACATACAAAAACATCTGTGAGACTTGAAATTCACGAACAAATTAAAAAATGCACTTACATATAATATAAGGCCTACTGAACAATTTGATTTCAATGACTTATCCACGTTTCTTACGCACATACGATATATTATTTAAATACATTACACTAATATTTGAGTACGTGGATTTTACAAATGTTATCTAGTCTAAGACATTTTGTGTTATAGGAGCCGATCAAGAGTAAAATGCCTCAACTGGTACTCGAATATAGGTTGTATAAAATACTCGGAGCGACAGGTACTCTAATACTAATGCTCTACTAATTACTAAATATACCTACATAGTTGGATGCGATTGTAGTACAATTTATCGGTACCCTTAAATCCTAAATGTTTAACACGTTCCCATTATCTGATAAAATGTATTTTGGTATCGCATAATTGATTGTCAATGTCATTAAAGTATTCCAGACCGCTCTGTCCTATTAACACTAGTTGATTATGATAAAACATGAGACATATTTAATTGATATAATTGTATTATGATTTTAGAAAAGAACCACGCAATACATGGCTTTCCAAAAGTATATTTTTACGGCATGGCTGGAAGACTCTACAACGCGTTGGTCTTAGAATTGTTAGGACCCTCGCTAGAAGAACTGTTTACATTGTGTAACAGGCATTTCACATTGAAAACCGTATTGCTGATTGCCATACAAGTGGTACTATTATTAATTCTATTAAGTCAATATCATACATTTTATAACATAGCGATTGATTTTTTTTAATTACATAAAAAATAGGATTGGAATGTTCTTTCAAAAAAAGGATAAAGTTCATGTTCACTAGGGTGGCCCATAAATTAACCTAATGTTGCACTATTGAGGAGTCAGTTTCAATTAAATAAAAAAATGGGTTATACAAAATTTGAAGTCGTTCAGTTGAAATAAACTCATGTCCTTCGTCTGTTATATTTTACTGGCCAAACAATTTAAAAAGTTAAATTTTTTCTCTTAAATTACGATAAGCTATAACTTTTTTATTAAAATTTAATGATAACAATATTATAATTTTGTATGTTAACTTTTACGTTTAACTTACTTTTTGATTAATAATAAAGCATTAGCTCTCCATCATTATTAAAGGGTTTAAAGATTATATTCTGAATAAAGCCACTGAGACAACGATAAGTTTATTGCTGTGAGTTTAGCCACTATTCGCTTTCCTGTAGGCCTACACCCAGATATAGACACTGGTTCAATTCGGATTGTAACAAAATATATTTTCTAACCCGAATACAAACGAGTTAGGAGATAATGGATTATTATTACCTTAGCTCAATAAGGTGAATCATACTTAGGGTGAGTCCCACGACAGGCTGGTCAGAAAAAGGCTAACTGTGTGTGTTTATATAGTATGGGTATACCAAAAAGTACTTATACGACAACAATACCAATATAAGTTGACATACCAAATAAATAACGAAACCCCTTCCCCCAAAAGAGGTAAAAACTTCGCTTTTTCAAGTAATGTTTTAGTCAAGGTTTATGAAATACGTACATTTGCCATATTTTTATAAATATTACAATGAATTAAAGGCTGTAAATGTGGAATGTATATTTTTGTTTCTATAATAATAGTTTTGTACTTTTAAGAAAATTTGTTTCATATGTACTGAGTGATTAATTTAACAAAAGACACGTTTAGTAAAGTTTTTTAATATTATCTTGACTATATAAAAAAAATTTTTATTTGTAGTCACGATTTGTTGTTAAAAAAAAAATTATATATATATATATATATATATATATATATATATATATATATATATATATATATATATATTACGTATGTTAAGAATTTTTTTATTACTATTTAATGCTTATTTTTTTTAAAGTTAGCCTACATTCTGCATAGGGTTTCGGTTTAAAACATTTAAATAATAATAATAATAATTAGAAGTGACCATTTTAGCTTCGGTGCGGAGCTGAGAAAGTATTGTTTTTACAATGATGTGTTTTTATTTTTTATTTTTGTGTCTGGACCCACGATATCTCGTAAACCACTGAACCGATTTCTTCGTGTAGCAACTCTATAGATCAGAAATTATACCTAAAAGGTACTTTACTAGGCCAAAAATTTTAAAAAGTCACCCCTTCCCCATCAAAATCGAGAAAAACATTCATATTTACAAATTTTTCAACTTAAAATTACGATGCTCTATAACTTTTTTAAAAATAGTCGAAAAAGTTCCAAATTTATATGAATTGTTTTTCAAACATAGTACTATCGATAAACATTAACAAAACAAAAAAATATCATAAACCATTTCCCCTAGAAGGGATAGAATTTTTGTCTTTATTTCACTTTTTCAAGCAAAGTCTTAGAGATTTATATTTGAAAATTAGACCGAAGGTAGATTTAAAATGGAACTATAACATATACAACTTTCTCAAAATGTCTTTAAACACAAGTTCTAGTATAGATTGATGATAATAAAATAAACACAGCAATATTGATAATCAATATCAGTCCAATACGTAAAATAATTGTTGATTTTTTTTTCGAAAAAAAAAAATCCCAGGAACGAAAGGGTTCGATATATGTAGTGTTATCCCAATATATACTATTGCAGATTGTTTTCCCACAGAAATTTACTGTTAATTCTCAAATGGCCTCTTTGTTATTAAGGTGAAAGGCTGTTACCATTATTTTAGAAGGGTTTGGTCAGTCTCCATTTTTGTAAAAATATTTTATGTAGGGCGAAGTTAGAAGTTAGTGTATCCTCAACTTGCGCCATCAGCGTAAGAAAATTTTTTGGAGACTGTATAGACTGTATCATGGTCGTACACAATGAACAGTATTGGTGCCAAAACTGAACACTGAGGAAAGCCGTTGTCCCGATATAACGCAGCAAGACTAAGCATTGTATAATTTTAGCTAGTTTCCACTTTCCACAGCAGTATATTTTTCCAAACAGTATAATATGCTGAAGAGAGGTCTATAAAGGCACATTACCGTACAAGACATCATACATTTTTACAACCAAACTGTCTGTAGGTCATGTAAAAGTTATATCTTATACAAATATTGCTAAAAAAAAGTTGACATAATCGAAATTAAAAAAAAATGCTTGTAGTTTGTGACTGCAATTTTCGATAACGGGACCTTTAGATCCATATCAAGTATTTTTATAGGTATTTTCTTCTTAGCCTTTTTAATTTTAATGTATTTAAAAGAGTATACTTTTTTTTACAAAAATGGGCTTTAGTAACCGTTTAAATCGTTATAAGCACAAGTCGCAAAAAAAAAATAATAATAAACTGTAATTTTGTTTTCAGTTACACCGGATAGAATACGTGCACAAAAAACGTTTAGTGTACAGAGACGTCAAACCCGAAAATTTCGTTATCGGCAGACAAAAACTGAAAAAAGACAATGTAATTTTCATAATTGGTAAACGTGCGGCTACCTAAGCAAACATTATTTTGTTTTGTTAGTAAAAAAAAAAAATTGTCAATATCGTTAAGAACATATTTAAGTTTAGATTTTGGATTGGCCAAAGAGTATAGAGACGCGCAGACAAACAAGCATATTCCTTATAGAGAAAACAAGAACCTCACGGGCACCGCAAGGTACATGAGCATCAACACACACTTAGGCAAAGGTAAAATGTTATATTTTGGTTAAAGTGAACTTATAAAATGAAACTAATCAACGACTGTGTTCACCGTACGAAGAACAAAGTCGTCGCGACGACCTGGAATCGCTTGGCCATATGTTTATGTACTTTTTGAGGGGTTCTTTACCGTGGCAAGGGTTGAAAGCGGCTAACCTAAAGGAAAGATATCAGAAAATTGGCGATACCAAAAGAAACACGCCCATAGAGACCCTCTGTGAAGGTTATCCTGGTAAATGAATACATTATACACGGTGATTTAAGTTTAAAACGAATTAGGCAGTAAATAAAAAAGTAACGGAATTCATCCAACGGGTAATAGATCTACCGAGTGGTAAGATCAACAGGTACTACAATTGTAAAGTATAACAGGTGATCCTAACTAGGCTCTAAGTAAACCGGTTCTAAATGAGCGTCCATGGGAAAAGGTACCTTATCTTCTATTTTTCAAAATTGGGGTTTTTGCATTTTGTTGTAGTCGAATATGTAACTAAAGTTTGAAGTAACGAAATAAAAGAAAATACTCTTATAATTATAACAATTTCAAAAATGTTTCGATCGAAGACACATTTTGTTCCGTATCTTTTAACGTATGTAGACAATTTTTCTAAGATAATATAAGTGTTGTGTCCCTTCAAAAAAAGAAAATGACATCAGTTAGAACTTTTTTTGGATCACGATATGGAATAGTTTCTGTAGGTTTACCTAATTGTGGTGTTTGGTTAATATATGCCTGTGTTTTTTTTTTATTTGAAAAGAAATGGCCGAATATTTGAAGTATTCAAGACGTTTGGATTTCTTCGAAGAACCTAATTATGATTACCTGAGACAGCTTTTTATTGACTCTATTAAGAAGAACTCATTAACCGACGATCAACAGTTCGATTGGTCTAATAAACTTGATGTGAGTAGTCCCATTTTAAACTTGTTCGTTTTTAAATGCACTAAATTAACACAGTGTTGAATTCTCGGTAAAATGTTATCAATAGTAATAATAACACCTTACATCCAAAACTTATATTTTTTTAGAACAAGAACTAAAATAAGTGTATACAGGGTGTTCCTCAATGATTCGAAAAATTAACTTAAAACGTTATTATCCAAATCGGTTATCGACTAATCAGCATTTTCAGCAAAATATTCATAAAAAAATGGCTATCTAATTTTTTAAAAACAATGTAACAAAAAAAAATAATTAAAAAAAGTAAAATAGTTAAGTGCAATAAAAAAAACCTGGTAGTTATTGCGCAAATGAGCATAAATTAATTTAAACATTTTTTTTTTTTTAAATATTCACTAGAACAAGTTATTTCAATTGTCGAATCATTTTGGAACACCCTGCATATTATTTATCCTCATATTTATATATCCTCGCATTACATCGTTTATTTTTTAAATATTTATTTTATACTTATTATTTTTAATTAAGTAGTTACACTATATTTTGCACGTTTATGCTTGTTCGAGGAAAGAGGAATCGGAAGCGTAATGATGGTAATGGAAATAAACTTAAGAGATAGAGGATAAAGGAAGACCTGAATAAGGTGGTTCGATGCGATTGAGAATGATAGGGCTATATGAGGACTGCTGGTGTTTACAAAGAGGATATGATATTATATTGTGTTGATGGAGGGTTTAGGACAAAGGTGGACACCGGACGGCCCCAAATAGTTAGGATGAAGGCGAAGGTGATGAAGACATGAGAAAAATGAGGTAATTCTGATTTTTGTTTTGTAAGTGACAATATTTTCACAAACAACTATGGTTTTTATATTTAACTAGCCGCATGTCTGAGTAAGATGACATTGTAGAAACGCAGGGTCACCGCACTGTTTTGAATCTCAGCTACTGGCGATTAGTTCCTTCGGGCGGGTGATTGTCTTAGAGAAAAACTTAGGCCACACTTAGGAGCCAAACTTGTTTGGTAAGTCTTAGGTAGGCAGTCAGCTGTAAAAAAAAACCTGAACTACCAATCTTATAAGCCGTCTGTATTCCAATTGGTGGAGAATACTTGAAAGTTAGACGTGAAAAAAAATGTAGCAACATTTTTACTAATAAACACAATTATTGTTTTTATATCGAATATTTGTTTTTGTCTATGATATCTATTGACCTTCAACATGTCTAAATTCAACACTGTGGTCGTGACTAGTACATTGTTTTAATACAATGTGAATGTATTTCAGAATTTGGGGAAGCAGTAATTTTCGTTTTCTACATGTAAAATTATTACAATGAAATCACCAATAAATAAGTAATAAAAATATAAATGACGATATTTAGTGTTCGTATGAATCATTTAACACTTGTACTATCAGTAGTTCGATAACAAGTAATAACGTTAATCAAACAAAGTATTATAGTAATAATAATGATAATAATAATAATCATAGATAAACAATAACGTCTCACGCATATCTACGTCTACCTACGTTAATTCGTTTATACTGAGTATTGTGATCGTCGTTGAAACCCCACCTCCTAACCATAAGTCCGTTAATACTATATTGTATCATTTAACAGTCGCTACATAGAAATTAAGTAGAGTGTATGCTCTGCCAGTGCAAGGTGTTCGACCCTGTATGTGAAACTAGTCTTGTTGACAATCAGCTATAAATACACACAAATATTATTTTTTTAAATTACTTCCGTCGTGTTGTTTTGCTCCACCGAGTTTCCGTTGGGCCGGTAGCAAAAAATTCGCCGAACCGAAATAATAATGAGTGTAATGATTCTATACGTGCGGCGGACACAAACTACCAGGTAATGCCTGACTTTTCGCAAACCGTAGTCGACTTTAACGGTGATATCGGTGAAGAACGGTTAGCTACTGAATGGCTCACCAATATTAATTCATTGGTCCTCCATACGTGGCTAGGTGCATTTAAATTACGAACTGCGCGTCGATACTTGTCGGTCCGGCTACTGGCCCGTTTGGAGAAGATTGTACATTTGAATGCTTTCGAAGAGGCGTTCAAAAAAACATTTGTGGGTAAGACGAGTTTCTTCCGGAAGTTCCAAAAAATGCAGACTCGGGTACAAGGGAAAGGTGAAACGCCCTGGTTTATTTTCACAACAAGGAACGTTTATGTCATTCGTTAAAATAAGATTGTACAGACATTGCCGAACAAATCATTATGGGATACGCCTCGCAGGATCTCGCACGCACCTTTATTGTTGCCAAACACACGGATGTTGACCAGCTAATGCGGGATCTGATTGCGTTCGAGAGAGTAGAGAAGGCCCCTTCGGAACGTTTCAGGGCCGAACGAACGTCGTGGCGTGGACGATCATTGCCGCCGCCAGGCCCAACCCAGGTCCTCATACGCGAAAACCGACCGTTCTCAGGTACAATAATAATAAATAAATAATTAACGTCATTTAGACTCTTTGTCATCAGACATTTTAGCCAATTTAAAAATCACTTTTGCAATTTTTTTTGGCTGCAACACTGTCGTTTTAATTTTTTTTTTCCTGTTCGAGAGCTATTATTTTGTCCAAATGTTCCATTTTTTCTTGTACAATTTGTTCAAAATGTCTTTTTTGATCCTCACTTAGTGCTCCAAGGTTCCGTGTCGCATCCGCTGCTTTTTTGACGAATGCTCGTTTGGAACTTTTAGGTCTCCTAAACATTTTTTGATAAAAGTCCCATAAAAAGCAGCACCTATTAGGATCCAACCAAAGACTCATCCATAAGCGACAGGCAATGTGAGTAGTAGTAATTTGGGGCTTTACCGCCCATTTTTACAAATTGTAGTAAATTAAACTAGAAATGAATAACAACATCTCTTTATATAGTATAATACCTTTTATTAATCATAATAATTATAATATTTTATGATTTATCAATCTGTATAGTATAAAATAAACTTACATAAAGGTTTTTTGTATCTATTATTCAAAGCTAAATCAATTTTAAATTACATACATTCTACCTAACACACATGAAAATTATCCTGAAGAACCGAATCCTTTTTCTCCTCTATCAGTTTCATCTAATGACCGAAGTTCCCTGAGTTCTGGATACACAATTTTTTCACATATTAGTTGTGCTACTCGATCTCCACGTTGAACGATAAAGTCTACATCAGAATGATTGAATAGGAGAATACCAACGTTTCCGCGATAATCTTGATCAATTACTCCAGCTAGGATTTTAAAAAAAAATATATAACATTTTATTTAGTGATTAGATTTTATAAGCATACCTCCAACATCAATAAAATGTTTCCATGCTAATCCTGATCTCGGTGCAATTCGTCCATATGTACCATGTGGTACCACAATTTGTAGATCGGTCTTAATCAATTCTTTTCCATGTGCTACTACAATATATTGGTATGCACTTTTTAGATCGTATCCAGCCGCATGTTGACTTCCTCTAATCGGCGTGTATGCTTTATCGGTTAATTTAGAAAATAAAAGCATCTAAAGTTTTAAACAATCATTCATTCATAATAATCTTTATTTAATTTAACCCTAGCTTCATTTACTAATTTTATCATAGCATCATTCGTTTTTTTGTCTAAACTTTTTTCTAATTTTTTTTCTAATTCATCATTCATTAACGTCATATTTATTTTATTTTCCAAACTAGTGATACATTCTTTGAATGAGTTATTTAATTCAGATTTTATTGTTTCTATTGTATTTTTTGAAACATTAGTTATTGATTCATTATGTGTATTTAGTTTTTTTTCTAAACTATCTTTTAAACCAGTCTGAGTTTCTAAGATAGAATTTTTTATACTATTTTCCAAATCAATTAATTTCGAATTTAAATATTTACCAACTCCGATATCATTGAAATGATTTATATGATGACCAAAATAATCCATTATTAATTTAAAAATAGAGATCTTAACAGTGACAAGGACTTCTTATATACTAAAACCAAAACAAAAAAACTATATTATACGAGTTTACGCACTTCTCGGGTAAATGGCGAATACTCAACTATGCGGTCGTGTATTAACATACAATAAGCACTAACACCAGTTAAATTATCATCAGCTTCTATTTCTAAACGTAAGTCAATTGTAGAAGAAATTTCAGAATCGTTTTGTTTACTAACATCTAAAACAATAATTGGAGCATTTGATAAAAACAATTTTGGACTTAGTATCGGATTTCGAAGTCCATTTTGGTGTTAAATATAAAATTTTATATATTTATACTATGTGATGAACCTTATAATTAAGATGTTATTATTTTCATAACTAAGTATAAAGTTAAGTTGCTGCTACTGTTATAGTTTAATATAATTCATGAATTAAATTATCTTGTTTGTTTATAACTATTTTTTTAAACTAAAAACAGTAAAAAAAGTACTATCATATTATTAATGTTCATAAAATATTCCAAACTTTATATACTACCGATAAAATAATATATACATACCACCATCGCCAAGTAATAACATATTAAATGTGTTTTCAGAAAAATATTTGTTTGCATGACTTCCACTAAATATAAAGCTGTCATGATAACTTCCTGGCCATCTAACAACTATAAGTAACAGCACAACCTTAAAATTAACTACGAAACGCATTTTTACAGAACTGTGCTTAGGTGAAACTTAAACGACTATGCATACGGGCCTATGTTTCTTATATCACTAAATGAAGGAGTACAAGAAACTGAATAATACCGTATCGGAGACCAACATGATATTAAGTACCCGGATAGATTCGTCTAACCATTTTATAATTATACATTTTTTTGTACGCTGAATTAATTCATATTATCTATTCTTTTTATGCAAATGTTTTTCGAAATAATCTTAAAAAATATTTAAAATTTTATTTATCGTTTTATTAAATGTATTTGATGGCGTTTTAAGTCAATTTTCATTACCAAATAAAGTATAATTTTAGTTAAGTAAAAGTAAAATGTTTTTATAATTTCAAGTTTATCTATGAATAATTCATTTTTACAGTGATTACAGTTAAATTTTTTCATACA